AAATTAAAATAAATAATATGTATACTTGTAGTACTAAAATACAAGGAATAATAATAGGTAGAAGAAGTTTGTATTTGCTCTTGTTATCTTGTTGAATATCGAATAAAAATTATTGGTATTAAATGATCACAATTTGATTTCAACCACGTTATAGCACGTGATTTTGTTATCACAATACAACAATAAATTGCCTCAACTCGGCCACAAAATGGCCGACCTTGACGACTGAAAAGCTACTTGCGTTTTCTCGAGCGGAGCGTTCGCGGGACGCCAGAGTAAATATAGTTGTTGCGCTGCTCGCAAATGAAAATTCTTCATCACATGTGTCAACGTAATTTGAACTTAATCCCACTGTTGTTAAGTCTATTTTATTTTAACAAAACTTTACATTTCCACGCATATGATAATTGGGAAATTTATTCAAAAATAAATATTTCTCTTCAATCTTTGTAACACTGCTGCATATTACAACTGCATACAAACATACGAAAAAAAAAAGAGAATTTTTAACTCGTTTTTTCCGAGATATTGTATTACGTAAAATTACGAACAAACAAATCAACCGATTTACCGTTTTTGATACTTACAAACATTGTTTAAACTTACCCTAAATAAAAAAATATATATCGGATAAGAAACACAAAATTAAATTTCTAAACGCATGAGGGGACTCGCATTTACACCTCGCTCAGTCGTTCCCGCCAAAACAGCTGTCAAAAAGGATTCGCGCTTGTAAATTTTTTTCACACTGTAGCAGAACTATTGTATAATTTACTGTCAACTTTGAAGACCTATTGGTGTAATGTTTGGACACAGACTGAACAGTTTAGAAGCGCGCTGGCGCCGGCACAACACTACACGGAATGCTTTTGTGTTTCGTACAATCACAGTCACGTCAGTGATTCATCCGTTACGGACATCGGTGTATATAAAATTAGAATAACATGGATTTGTCTTTTAAAATGAAGAAAAAGCATCTTATTTTTATGTAAGTGCCCAGTGTTAATTAGGATTCAAACGTATGAAACTCGCTGCATAATTTAAGGACTACGCGCATGGTTAATCTGCTTTTTTCTTCATCTCAGAACTCAGCTAACTTGTCAAACATAAGATACGACAAAATTTTACAAATATGGCTTTTAGATTAACCTTGTATTAATTCATTATTCAGGTTAAAAATCTTACTTCTTACTCTTACCTAAAATTATAGATGCGATAGTTTAGACGGATGGATGGACGTTTGTTGAAGAATCGAATAAAACATGATATACTTTTCATCATCTTTGTTATTCTACGCAGACGAAGTCGCTGGCAAAAAAGCTAGTGTTACATAAGAGCAAAGATAAAACATGAATTTAGACTATTCAAACTTTCGTGAGACATTATACTAAACTGATATATAAACACGGCTAAAAACTCACGTATATTCGTCCGGTGGCGGCACCGACTAGTTTCGACCCCATCGGGGGCCCTTCATCAGGATGAGTGGGCTCACTCGAGTGAGCGACGGGCCGCGTCCGCGAAATAATACCAGTACCACTCATCCTGATGAAGGGCCTCCGATGGTCTCGAAACTAGTCGGTGCCGCCACCGGACGAATATACGTGAGTGTTTAACCGTGTTTATATATCAGTTTATGAATTTAAACATTGACAATTAATTCATTTGTCGCTTAGGACAAGAATTAATACAAGATGGCATAGTCAACCATTTATCATAATTAACCTGTCATTTTATATAGGAATTGGAGCGAGTACAGTTATAGACATACGGACAGATATTAATATAATGAGAAATAATGATCCCGCCTGTCGCCCACTTTTCCTGAGGTATCATGAGGCTACTTAATAGATTCGGTACGACTTATTGTTTCAAAACACACTACTAAACGCTATTAGTAGCTTAGCTTCTACCTAATTATAGTCCGTATTAATAAAGTAATATTCAAACATTTTAGAGGCTCTTGTTTGCAAGACCATGTCTTCGGAGATATAGGTATGCCAGTTTTTTTTTTTATTTGGAACAACTAACGACTACATAATGTATATACATCAATATAATACATAACAAAGACTTAGTAATAATGTACCCAACAACGTTGTTCACAATTCCAGTTGACGTGATTGAAGAGATTCTTAGTTGCTGTTTATAATGATTTGTTTTTAAATCATCACATTTTCTTATATTCGTTTTTGACTTATCGTGTCATTTGTCCTCATGACAACTAAAAACAGTGTCACCGTAGCTATTGGCGCAGATTAGCGCGCATTATACACGGCTTGTGATAACGACCTAGCCAGATATAAATATTAGTGTAAATATTTAGCACTTTTAGTATAGCACCAAAGATATTTAGGCACTTTATATAAAGCAAACACTATTTAAATTGAATATTTTAAATAATAAATTACTTAGCTGTCTTCGATTAAAAATACGTATCGAATGGTAAAACGGTTTAATCATTCAGACTACAGGATGTCACAATAGAACAAACATAATTACATTATACAACCCTATATACTGTTAGGAAGAAAATCCGACACTGTGCCGGTGTACTGGCACAACACTAGCCTTAAAAAATGTAAACGTTTATGTCCCCTCACTAATCATTCTGACACTTGACTTTGTAACAAAAGCACGCTATTCGCGACAAATGATTCTAACTAATCTTATATATAAAATTCTCGAGTCACAATTTTCTTTCCCATACTACTCCGAAACGGCTTGACCGATTCTCATGATATTTTGTGATCGTGTTGAGTAGGTCTGTGAATCGGCCAACATCTATTTTTCATCCCCCTAAATATATGGGTAGTCTACCCCTAAATTTTTATTTTTTAGACAAACACGCGGACGGAGTCGCGGGTGACAGCTAGTATTGTCTTAATACATAAAAATATTCACCTTTTGTTATACGTATAAAAATAAAAATATGAGGCCAATATTCATAATTAAATCCTTAAAATAGTATATTTTTTTCTTTTTATTTTCTTTTGTAAGCTTCAAGCGCAGTGAACAATGCTAGGTCAAGGCAAACGCCTATTGTGACATGGAAAAATATATAATACTACTATGATAGAATATACACAACCAACATTCGCTGACTATTCTAAAGTCCGCGAAACTAAATTGTGCAGTAAAAATTTACGTGTATAAGCAAAACTGAGAACTGAAGGGTTAGACAAAGTGCATTTGATCACCTCGGTGTTCCCGCTTCTCGTTTGCCCCCTTCTCTTACAAAAACGCGCTTCGTGACAAAGGCAATAACTTTCGATAAGTCACGTGATTGTCGCGCTTCAGTTCCATACAATCTTGAAGATCGCTGTGGAATCGCTTCGAAGCGAATGCACTTTGTCCAACCCCGCTGTACAGTTTATCCGAGTTAAAAAATGTTACCCACATCTACGTCTTAATTGTAGAGTTCGACTGTACATTTATAACTGAACACTGACATTAGGATGCTTGTGGTTCATCTATTCACACGTGTCCATAAAATATGCGGTTATCTGAGTGACGACACAAATATCTACTTCAAATTTCTTGATACCGGGTATCTGACAGCGTAATCGTTATCTAAGTTATATCGAATGATGGCGCAGCCTTGTTACTGGCCGCCTCATTGACTAACTTCGTTCTATCTATTGCGATCAACAACGGAAGAAATAACTTCGAGTTAAAATTAGGGTTGTCACTTTGGATATATTTGATTTTGATTAAGAGATTAATAGTGTTGGCCAGAGGAACTTATAACATGCAGATCGAAGAAATACTCAAGAATTGTGGTATTAAAAGCAGCCGAAACTAATTGCTTGTATGCATAGATGTATGAATATGGAAGAGGCAAAAAAGAGGTAAACCAAGATGGCAATAAATGGAAGTCAGTTGTTCGTGGTGGTGGTTGTATATTTGGGCAGTTGGTTAAGATATCATTTACTTTATATCTGGCTTTTTTCATCATCGGCCAAGGAGTTAAGAAACAAGACTTTGTGACTGGTGGCTTTTAGTCTCAGTCTTCGAGTTTACGTTTAATGAAAAATTGGCAGCCCTAAGATTCATTCTTTCATAAAAAGTATCAAGTTCCTGTTTCCAACGAGTACAATGGTAACGTAACATAAACAGATAATGAATGCGAGGAAGCTTCTAATTGCAGTAAATTGAGGCGTTTTAGATTTCGTCATTGGAGCTCAAACGATATTTATGAGTACATTTTGATTATAAGAAATTGAATACGTATCATGTTTACGTACATCAACATGTTTTTAATACAATTTTTGTAACACGAAATTGATACGAATCACCTACGTGTTATTCTATAACAAACTAATAGTATAAAGGTGTAACATGATAAAAACAAAAGGTTTTTTATGTATTGAAAGATGTTTAATTTACATATAGGTTCTTTAGCATCGTGGTGCCAATATGCGTAGATATGTCTTATAGGTATCTACTATAATATACATATTTTCATTCAGAAAGATGTACCTAAGTAAGTATTATAGAAATTCGAAATCGTCCAGTATCTCAGATACCTGGTGTTGTTAATTTTCTACTATATTCCTGTCTATTACCACATACGTAGGATTTTAGTTATCTAGTTACGAGGAGTTTTACGCTATATATTTTCCCAAAACGTCGATATGGTACATATTGCAATAAGTAAGAATTTTAACAAATAACATCGGTATGGTTATTAACAAATATGGAAATAATTAAATGTTGAAGCCACAAATACGCTAAGTAAACAGGAAAAAAAACAAAAGAGTTGATTATGGTTTTTACCCATTGAATTTCTTTCATCCAATTTATCGGAGGTGATTTTGCGAAGTTGTAGTCATCGAAATACTGTCACATGCCTTTATTATTCAGAATAAAGTAAACGTAAAAATAGATAATTAGGGTTATAGATATTTCGTTATAAAACAAAATTTTAATTAATCCTGCGTCAAATGTTTATGAGGATCGCTGAAAACTCGTATTAAAGTAAACAAACAGGAACTAACCTATGCGCTTGCTGAGATGTGGAGTACTACGTCCAGGTTCTTCTTCTTCAATGTCAACATCGAATGAAAAAGGAAAATTTTTCGTGGAACCAACGAAACCGGCCGCCATAACATTAAATATTTTATAACCTAAATCCGTAAACTGCTTTACTCGCCAGTCTACATGGCGTATCGAGCGACACTGCGCGAAACGAAACGAATGTTTGTCGAATGGATCGGGCCCACCGAGCCGTCGAGTTGCCTACGTATGACTCACACAACGTCTGGAAGGATTACTTACGGCGGAAATTTTTGAACTAACAAAACTGAATCCATTGCTAGATACTAATAAACTGTACTTTATGACTAATTGATAATAATTAAAGGCTGAAATTGACTTTTTACTTTAAACGAGTCAGTTAAAAAGTTTATTTAAGTAATCTTATTGATATTTTACTCTAGCGATGTATATGAACATAAATATTCTCACCCCTTAACACCACTGCAGTGACACTTGTTTTAATAGTTTCATCCCTTTCATTCTCTTTCACAAAATAGAGATAGCAATATGTATCACTGTCAATATAAGTGGCATTACAGGTGAAACTCACGTTTTGCAGCAACTTTACTTCATGTTCTTGAATTTAATTTACAATTAGCTCCTGTACTATATGCACTTACACGTTATACTTCTTACTACAAAAAATAATAAGAGAAAACTTGTTCCGGTGTTAAAAAAACAATTAAAAATGCCGAAAGCCAATTCTAGTCCTTTTCCTTTGTTTACCCCGCTAAAAAAACGGACGATGCTGGCTGATTAGATTTAACAGGAAATGTCCTTCTCTGTATATACTCTCGTATGCTTAGTAACAAAAGCAAGGCCTCTGCAACTTTTTAATTTACTGCAGATATTCGTAAGCATGAGCACCGGTCACTTTACTATTTTGCGATAAAAGGTAGCCGATTGCTCTTTTGCGTTTTAAGATCGATTTTCGATCGATCGATAAGATTTAATTCAAATCTTTGAGGCCTTCGCATCAATCACATGAAAGTTAAGTTTAGTTTTAGAGTCTTCGCACCAGCTACCATAGAGTTAATGCCTTAAGATCCGCAATCATTTAAGTTATTGAGTTAATTGTAATGAAATTTACTATTAGTAATATCCATTCCATCCATTTTTATTAATAATCAGCGTACCAAAACTAATAATTATGTATAATATGTATGTACGTAATTATGAGTCTTAGTTGTCGAAAACCTACGGTTTCGTATGCAAGTAAAGTTATTGATATATGTATAAATCTCATTGGCTTCAACAAATGAACAGTAAGAAAAATCGCACAAAAAGCGCCAAAAGTCATCCATATCACGCTATTGTCACGTAACCTGCATCGGAAATTTTCTCTCGAACGCACTTACCGCCATCTTGCGGACAAATCGGCCAATCAGGCAGCCGTATATCTCCATCGATATTGTATTGCCATAATATTTTTATTATTTATTTCAATTTAAGTTGATTATTTAAGACTTATGAAATTAATATTAAATATTTGCACATACATAATCGTGTAATTTTGATCTAAATGCAAACTTCTTTTCATTACATTAAACTTAAAAGTTTTTCTATCTTTTTTATTATTACTGGCAATTAGGTTTTTGCATTATTTCCTGTGAATCACCGAAATGTTTGACAAAAATAATAAACTTCTTTATGTCCTGTATTTTATACACTCTTTGATCAGTGCCTGATCTGATTTGTTCAAGCCAAGGAGTTAAATCCGCATTCTGATTAGTGAAGTAAACTATAAACAAATAATGATTTACGTAGCAGAAACGAAAAAAGGAGATAGGAAAAGTATTTATCTGTTTAGTGTCCGGTAAGCTTAATACGGAGTATCGGTTTATCTTTCTTTACTCTAAAATCTTAACACCTTCATATATAGAAGGTTCAATGTAAATATTCCTTAATTTTCTTGCATTCCTATCTGAAATTTTACACATATCAGATCCACTTTGGTGTCTTATCTTCATCTTTAAAAAAAATGTTTTTAAGAGCACAGTAAGTAACCCGCTGTTATTTACGACAGGGTTTGTATATTTATATTTTATCAAATATGTTGTGCTATATTTACAGCAAGCTTAAGCAATGAGGCTTGTTAAGTGAAAACTGTTACAGACTTTAATGAAAATAATATTTCTATTTATATTCACAGCAGTGAGGAAGAGTTGAAACAACTACAAATTTTCTCAAATGGTTCAAATGAAGACATTGTAGTTTCTGGTGAAGATGCTGCAACAAATTCGGGAATTTCCACAAACGATAGTGAAGAATGTACAAATATACAAAAATCAAAAGACACTAATGAATTACATGACAAAGATATGTTACAATCAGAATTTATAAACACTAAAGATAATAAGACGAATAAGCAAAATGAAACAGATAATGATGTTTTGAAGGATGATTTGGAATCAAAAGTGACAGAAAATGGTGAAAACTTTGTCATTGATTGTGACAATGTCAACACAATTCATGAAAATACCAAAGCAGAAACATGGGATGATTATGATTGTTTTAAAATATCACAAGAAAACTTCTTTCCATCGAAAGTTATCAATTTAAATACACAAAAAAATATTATTACTAGATTTCTGAACTTTTATGTGGGAGGAAAGGTACCCAAAGGTTTGCGTGTTTCTGATTTACTTTTTGCAGTTATATCTATTATTCCACTTACATCGGAAACTGAAGATTTTATCTGGCATGAAAATGAGTATAGAGATGATGGTTCTTTGTTTTTCTTGTCACCTGAAGAAAAGCTTAACAGTGAATTTAAAGCGATAGCAAAAAAATCTAACAAAACTCCTAACGTTACAGAACCAAATACAAATAAATTCAGTGATTATGAGAGTAAAAATAATGTTGCTGCACCCCCATGTCATAATGAAGAAACACCTAATAGTGAGGAGAAAAATAACATCGGCACCAGTAATAACAAAACCGATGACAATCAAAAGACAACTTCATCTGATTTAAATAATGATGTCTTGTTATCTCATATTACTGATCTGGTAGATAATATGTCATTAAAATGGCGTGGATCAACATCATTTGCATCACCCTGTGAAGTTGTATCAAAGCAATACGGTCCTGCCGAAAACTCAGTTTTCATATCATCGTGCAATAAATTATTGATTGCATGGGAAGAATCGAAGGAATCTAGATCTAGACTAATATTAAAATGGTTTTTCGGTATTATTGCTTTAACTTTAATGAGAGGAATTGTTAAAAGAAAAAAGAATATACTTAATACATTTCAGAGTAAAACGTTTCTAAATAAAATTACGTTTATAAACTCTTATATAAATTATATACCACCACAAGAAAGTTGTGTGGAGAGATGTTGCAATGAAATGATGGTCAGAGAAAAGCATCATAAAGTGATGTTTGCTAAAATATTATTTAATTCAATCCGTATAGATATCTTACAACGGGAACATGCAATCACAAACTACTATGGATTGTATAATATTTTTAGAATGTGTGTGGTTGACCATACCTCATACTATGATATGGGCATTTTAAATCTGTTAAAGTCCATTTACGGATATGTAGGGCCCGGTACACAGTTTTCAATCATTTTATCGGATTTAAAAGCTGAAGAAATCAACGACTGCATGGTACAGGTTAGGAATTTTATGATGAAATACATGAAAAAGGAAAATTGTTGGACATATCATTGGGCGCGTTATTTTGATTCAACGCAATTTGAGTACTTGTCTTGCAGCAACAGTTACGCAACTGCAGTATTGCTGGCAGTGTTTGTAGAGAAAAAGACGCACAGGTCGGATGTGTGGCGCTCCGGCTGGGTGAGGACGCAGCAGGTCGATCTCGACAGATACAAACAGCTTGGAGAACAATTGTACAAACAATATGAATGTTTATGTCAAATAAAATGTGTCTTAAAACTTTGTTTCATGAAACAATAGGTAATGTAGACATTTTACATGTCAAATTTATCAATATTCATATTTCCGAGTTTCTATTACTATTTTGTGTATCATTTTCATCCATAAATGCTAACATATTTAAGTATATGTATGTTTTTATACTAAGCTACTCCTAGGTTGAGATGAACTGAACTTGTGATATGTTTTCTTTTCAACATATTGATAAATCATTTGCATTAGGTAATAATATATTTAATTTCTATTTTAAATATGTTGTATCACATTTTGGAAGTTGGAAGGGCAAGGAGTTTGTAACGAAAAAGAAATAGGATATGAATACTATTAGTATAGTATCGGTATTTAATTGTTTTAAGCTTGCTAATTGATATTATTTAACAGTAAATGAATATTTAGTTACTGTGGACTTTTATTTAAATATTTTACACTAAGATTGATTTACATTGCTTATTCACTTCTGTGCCGCCTGCTCATCAATGGGGTCCAGTTTTGGTTCTTCAAACTTGAATGAGGGGAATGCTGTCATATCCACTCCAGAACCACCACCATATTGTCGCTCAAGCTTCTCCAATTCAGATTTTAATTCCTTCTGAATGGCTGGACTCGGGTCAACAAGCTTACCACCCCTGTCAAAACAATGTTATAAGATGTTAAAACAAATGATGCAATTAACTAACTAAAAGCAGGTCCTGTGCTATAATTAGATTTAAGTTTATTATTTTTTTGGAATTAACTATTTATCAATTTTTGTTTTTAAATTGGTTTAATTCAAAAGTATTTACAATAGCGCCTGTTAATTCATTTTATTTTTCATGTACTTACAATAAATTTAAGAACAAAATTGTACTTTAGTATTTAAATAAATATTAATGAAAATACTTACGCGCTCTTCTGTTTATATTCCCTGATCTTGTCAAGAAACAATTGTTGAATTGGGTCGGTAGCCTTTTGCGCTGCAGCTAGATTTCTTGTGATAACGATTGAGGATCGAGCTGCCCTTAGGCCACCGAGAAGAGAAGAAGAAAGCATCTGAAACAGTTAAACATAACCTTAAAGTGTTACATAACTTGAAATATTGTTTTTTTGGTTAATCGGAATTCTGTGTACTTGTCGTCAGAAATATATTATTTGATATATAATATTATTTTATAATAATAATATAATACCTTTGAGGATACGCTATCACAAGACTGAGAAACAATGAATTCCAATAAAAATTAGTTTTGACTGTCAGTTTATATTTAATCAATCGATGGCAGCAGTGGCACGTCAAAGACAATGGCTGTTAGTAAGAAAGTTATAGTTTTTGTAATTTAGGAAAAAGATAAATAAATTTAATAATATCTTGGTTTGAAACGTTCAAGATTTGTCACGAAAATTGATTAGCTTCCTTAAGATGGTTTAATTTACATCTTTCAGGAAAATTGTCTCTATGTCTAGGATCTGTTCTGTATCTTTTCGCGAATTTGGCAAGGTTGACAAATGTCAATGCCAGTGTCAATTTGACAGCGGCGATTTGGAGACGAGGCGATTTGAGGCGTCTTGTTTGTTATGATTAAATATTATAAATATATTGATTAGTGTAAAGCGATAAAAACAGGCCTTAATTCAATTTCAGTTCAAGATACTTTGAAATGTTGATAAAATTACTTGGTTTCTAATAAAAAAATCGGAATGGAAAGAGGTAAAATGTCATCGGCAGGCCGTGGGGCCAAAAGTAAGGCCCCGCAGCATCCCCAAGATATATTTGCGCTCGGCAGCAAGTCCACGGTAGTAGTCTCTAGAGATTCCGAAAAGAGAAATATACACAAGCCCTCCACAAGCGGTAAGTTCTTGTACCATTAAAACAATTTCTTGGTTCATTAATTGTTCCAACTGATAAAAATAAAATTTAATGCCAGTCAATATTGTATTGTGAAATCATATTATTAGATTAACTAAATAATATTAATTAATCTTAAATTAAAATATGCCTCAAAAATATGTTGCATTATTCCAATTAGAATTGAAATAGAATATGCCTGATAAGCAACAAGAACTGAACATATATATTATAACTTAGGTGTGGAAAGAAAACGGGAATCTTCTGGGTTTGGGAGTCAGCCCCCAAGCAAGAGGTCTCGTATAGGCTCACCAGCTGAGACAGTTGGAGGTGCCTCATTAGATGTGGAGCCTGTTGATTTAGTGCCCAATGTTCTTCAAGCATTGGACACTCATAATTCTGATAAATTAGTAAGTATATTCATTTACTAAAGATAAAGTAAACTCATATAAAAACGGCTAAACACTCACATATATTTGTCTGGTGGTGGATATATCATAAAGACAAAACTGTGTTTTTATTTTAATCACAATCATTACTTTTAGTTAATGTATATTTTCTTATAACTACAGCTGTGTAATAAAAAAATACAATATAGTAATATTTTTCCAGTATTTATACTATATACAAGTACAGTAGTTATGTGTTGATTACCTAGATGTTCCCGCTGTTTACCCCTCTTATAAAAAACAAATACATAATATATTTCAGTTGGGATTGTTAACTGGATCAATTCGTTTGCTCAAATCACAAAGATCAAAAGCTGATATAATCCTCTGCATGAGTCTGCTGTACCTTACGAAGATAAGACCCAACATGTTTGCCCACGAGACTGTCACACAGAGTCTATGTACGTTACTGAAGAGAGAACAAGGAGCCGCTTTCAAAAACAAAGGAAATCCTCTTATATTTGTATTAGCCTGTAACATGTTGTATGCAGGACATAAGGACAGTTCTACCTGGCCTGATACTTTTATTAAGGTATGTATTGTTTTTATTTATTTTGTCTACTATAAGTGTTCAAATAATTTACCTACATATATTATAAGTATAGTTGTAATAAGTACTATATTCTTTAACTTTGCGACTACCACTTAAATTGCGTTACTGTCTTACTTATAATGCGAATATTTAGATGGATGTATGGATATTTCTTACAAGGTATCTTCAGAATGGCTCAATGGATTTCAATAAAATTTGGCACGAACATAGAACATAGTCTGGAGGAACACATAGGCTACTATTAAGTTTTTTTTACTCAGCGCATATGGAGTCCCGGGCGATAGCTAGTATAGTAATATTACATACTCCATGTAGGTGTACATTGAGGATGCACTGAACGAGCGCTGGTGGGTGGACTGCTCATGGTGCAAGTGTTTTGTGGAGAACATTGTCACCGCTTTCAACACCAAACAGCCCCCCTCACACCTCATACCCTCCGATAATACATTGGGTAACTGTACTTACTTTTTTATTATTATTATTAAACATTATTTATTTTAGTGTATTCCACCACTCTTGTTTTCTCAAAGAGAATAAAAGAGATTTTTTGTTCTTTTAAAATTAAATTCCTCTCAGGGCAGCAATCGCCTTGATATCTCATTCAAATTGATTAATGTAAGCTGATACTACTATACTTGTTTGAATCTACAATGCTCTATGGAAATCCAGAGAGAACAAATCAGGGACTTCATCATCATCAGCTCGTTATACGTCCCCACCGAGGGGCTCGGAGCCTACCCTAAGTTAGGGGTGACTAGACCGTAGTCAACCACGCTCGCCCAGTGCGGGTTGACCTCACACATATCTTTGAATTCCTTCTCAGATATGTGCAGGTTACATCACGGTGTATACCTTCACCGTAAGAACGCCGTACATATGTAAATCGAAAAACACATTGGTACATGGCGGGATTCGAACCCATGACCTGCAGATTACAAGTCAAGTGCCTTAACCCCAGAGCCACCGACCCTCGCCGAAAACAGGGACCTATCTTACTTAAATTATAAAGAGGATTGTATAGATGGATGTTTGTTAAAAGGTCTCTTCAGAACAGCTTAACGGATCTCGCTGGAATATGGCATACATATAGAATATAGTCTGGAAGAATACATTGATTACTAATTAAGGTTTTTTTTATGAATCGCGGTCGACGGCTTGTTTTTATACATTGATGAAATATAAAAAAAAAATATGACTTTAGTACAACTAGCGACATGCGGATTATTTAGTAACTATTCACTTGTCAACATAAATGTTGAGGGAATTATGGTAGGGTTAATAGTTGCAATGCGAGTTCGTTTTTTATAATTTTAATGTGATAGGTACAATGTCACCATCAGGGTCGGGCTCACCACTGCTGGGGAATGCTGACGATGACAATGACACCGACCTCGAGTACAACGTGTCACCACGGTATGTCACTTTTATTAGAACAACACTTCCTTCGTATTGTATGCTTTTAAACATTAATCGTTGGTTTCTGAAATCATCCCTGTATAAAACATATCTCTTTTAATTTCTCTAACAAGACAGATGTTTTAAATGATGATTTGGTCTCAGAAACCAACGATAATTAAGATAAATGTTGAAACGGTAAACCTCGGCTGTTTTTTATTTGAATGAATGTTTATGCTTAAGTTCTGTATAAAAAGCAATTTTTCTATGCCGCAAATGAAAGTTATAACTTTTAATATCTTAATGACATGATTATTAAAAAAACATATAGTAAAGTAATATAGTAAGTATATGTTTTGTTTAGATATACTAGCAGTTACGAAACAGTAGAAGCCATGGTGCTGGAGGCGATCAAGGAGCAGATACAGCGGCGCACCGCTCCAGACACCATCGGCAAAGGCTTTCTCAAACTGCTGTCCGCTACATGTGGATTCCCCGAGGTAAAAGCTCTGTTAATTCTTAGCGCCTTTAGATTTAATTTGCGATTATTGTTTTTTTACATTGTAACAATTTATAATTTCTCAATGGAATTAATTCAAGGTCATTTATTTGGTTGTGGTGGTTGCCATTTTAGTTACGATTCATATAAATTTACGGGTTTGAAAGTTCACTAAGCCAACCTCCATTAAATGGAGAGACACCTTAAGAGAGAGAGAAAGGAAATATAATATATTTAGAAATAAAACTAATGATGATTTTTGAAATTCTTTCGTATTTTTTTATGTAATAAATTAAAAAAAAAACTTTTTAGATACGCATGATAGCTGCATCTCGGCTGGAGGCGTGGTTGCACTCGGGCAAGCTGTGGCGAGCGGCGCAGGAGCTGCTCGCGTACGTGTGCGCGAACGCCGCCGCCGCGGGGCCCAGTGCGGCGCGCGACCACGAGGTGCTGGCTCAGCTCGCCCGAATGAGACTCAAGACTAAACCGCTACAGGCTGCTTATCAGGCCTGTCTTAGGTAAACGTCACGCTAACTACTCAGATTAATCTGCCTTATATCAGATTTAATAGACGTTAGAAGTATCGGTCGCCCTCAGTCACTGTTCATGTCTTCTGTCTCGCTCATGTAACGAAATTTGTCTATATGTGTTTTGTCGATTTTCTTCTTAGGATTTTACAATTCATAATAGACGATTACACGACGTTTTAAGGGTTATAAAGGACATAGAAAAATCTACTACCAAAAATGACATCTGTGTTAATTAATTGGAGTAAATTTGTTTTTTTTTTCGATGTATGTGAACAGGGAGATGGTGTCAGACAGTCCGGCGTTGTTGCGCAGCGTGGTGACCCACACAATCTACAATGAGCTATCAAACGCGCGCTCACCCAACAACATGGCCGTGCTCGCCGCGTTAGTGCACGCCCAGCCACAGCTCGTTCCTGCAGCCATTGCGGAGACTTACCAGGTCACACATACATACAACAACGGTCTTGTCTATAAGAAAACTATTCGTATAAATAAGTCAAATGAGATAGAAGTAAAGTACATTATACCGGTCATCCTAGCCTAAGCGACTGAACTTCTTCAAGTCAAGTGTCGTAGGTATCCCGATACAATCATTGTTAGTCAGTTTATTTTATTTTCTTGCTTATATACAGTGTTACTAGCTGTCGCCCGTGACACCGTCTATGCGGATTAAAAAAACTCAATAAGTAGCCTATGTGTTCTTCCAGACTACGTTCTTTAGTGTACCAAATTTTATCAAAATCCGTTGTGCCGTTCCGGAGATACCTTCAAACAAACATCCATCCATCTAAACTTTCACATTAATAAGATTTCAATGTATGTTGTGCAGGAACTATTGTTCAGGTCGGAGGACTACTTGCGTCCGATGCGCGCCATGTTGCGTGAATGTGTACGCGCCGCGCGCTCAGAGACGCAGGCGCTGCTGCCGCTCGCCGCCGCGCTCGCAGCGCCCCCACAGCACGAGCCGCCGCAAGAGGTATACTACACGATAAACAAACATTATATATTTTTATATCATTATATACTTAATAATCCTTTATTATTTACTAAAATATCTCATTAAAATATGATAAATCTTTTTGTACAGGCTATTTAGCTTGTAAGAGTAAAAGTTTAGAGCAAGTAAAACACAGATTAACGATCAGATAGGTTTATTATATTTACCTAATAAAGTTAGGTTAGTTGAGTAAATAACAAATTATTCCTTGAGTTGTGAATCGTGTCATAATTTTGAAACGTACTTACTAATTGTAGAGAAAAAGAATATTCAAATGTTATGTTACGTTAGTTTCAAGCGCAAGTGTGAAATCATATATTTATATTTTTGTAGATCCGAGAGCGTGCGTTCCAGTCGTTAGCGGATCTATTCGCATGCTGTTGCGTAGTGACGGCAGCGCACAGCAAGCACGCACCCGAGTACCGCGCCCAGCTGTGCGCGCTGCAGCAGCACGCGCTCGCCTGGCTGCTCGACACCGCGGTGCCTGTCTACCGGCCCGCCAGGCATGACTATCAGCACGCACTCAACAAGGTACGTACGCACGCACGCACGCACGTACGCACCAGAATCTTATGACAGTTTTTTGACATTGACAGTTTGGTTGAAAAGTTTGTAGTGTTACCAGTAAGCTAAAATTTCCTAACTGCTTCCGAAGGTCGTCCAACTCCAAGCGATTGATATGCAACTTATGACCTGAGTTCTCTTAGTTCCATTTAATAAGTTGTGTGAAGCGTGATATTATTATGGTATTTCGTAATTATAAAAATGGCAACACATAAATAGGCTTGCAGCTGCTTTCTAATTGGTCAAAATATGACTGACAAGTTTCATATATTTTCCGACTGCCAAGATCTATGTCGTAGAGCCAATGGGAGATGTTAGTTTTTTCTTTTTGTCATGTGTAGATAATGTTCGTGGAGGCGGCGGAGGCGTACAGCAAGGCGGACAACTGGCCGCCGGAGTCTGAGCGCGCGCTCTGCTACCGGCTCTGCTGCGAGGCGCCGCTGCCGCAGAACACGCTCCTCAGGCTTATATTTATTGGACTTTCCAAGGTACAATCCATTCAATTCGCTTCATAAATTAAATATCTTACAGAGAACTATTAATATAAGAGCTAATTAGCTATTTAAAAATGAGGAAAAAGGACTATATCTTTGTCGCTTATCAAAATAAATCTTATATATAAATTTCTCGTGTTTTTATGAAATTTCATATCCATATACAGTAGGGCTGAAAATCCACTATTATGTATTCTTTAATCCCGCATAGATGGATTCGCGGACGATTATTAGTAGGTCTATAAATATTTGGAAATCAGAGAGATGGTTGTGTAAGATACTTATCAACTACATTCGTCCGCCAGGATATTCCAGTATCTCCAGCAGAGGTGTTCGAGCTGGTGGAGCAACTGGTGCGGCGCGCGTGTGCGTTGCCAGCAGACGATCTGCCGCTGCAGGTCGACAAGCTGGAGATCGTCGACTATATCTTCCAGCTGTGCCAGTTCCATCCGCCTGACAACATCACACTACCAGCAGGGTACTAATATTACATACAGACACTTTAATTTTATTAATATTTATAAATTGTCCGTTTATTTCGTAAAGCAATTTCAATTAATTTCTTGATCCTTCGAGTCGGATATGAAAATACAGAAATAAGTTTAGTAGTACTAATTCATGTAACAGTTACAGTCCACCTGCTCTTGTGATAACATCGCTGTACTGGCGCGGCTGGATGCTGCTCACAATGCTGGCTGCGCACAACCCTCAGGGCTTCGCGGAGCGCGCCGCCGCCACGTACCCCACGCTGCGAGCACTCATCGAGATGTGTATCACTGGGTGAGGACTTTTTGATAGTGAAAAAGGTTGATGACGATTACTATAGCTTTTAATATAGGAATACGTCGATAAAACATATTGTCAACCCTTTCATATTCTTTGGCAGCATTTCTAAGGAATATTTCTTACTAAAATGACTGTTTTATCGTGGGTTTTTGATACCAAAATCCCTTTTTAAAACATTTACTATCTCAGATTTGTCAGAAATAATGACAGAGATTTTGATCTCAGAAACTAAGCGTAAGTCGGACTTTTTAGTATGTTATTTTATTTAACACTTTCAATGCCACGTAATGTGAATGGGCGTCAGTGAAGGTGTTAACACTGTATTTCAGAAAGCCAAGTATAGAGTGGAGTACGAGTGGCGTTGGAGAGGCGGAGCGGCTGGAGGCGGAGCGCGCGACCATTTTGCAGCTGGAGACGCATCTCGCCACCGCCAGCAACTCTAAGTTGCCCGTCACAGAGCACACCTCCAGGTTGCTCAGTCAGGTACAAATTTTACCACGAACCACGTTAATTGCCTGACTTGTAAAGGTTTTATGCATTTAATTGACACCTTTAGCTTTATTTACTCTTTCACGGAGCTTACATCTAGTGGCGCTTGTTTTTTTTTTTTTAATAACGTGTTCATGTTTGATTCTTGATATTGATATAAAGTCTAGGAATCGTAAAAGTAACCTATAAACTATAGTTATCAGTACTGGACGCGCTGGGCCCAGCGCGACGTCCACCGAGCGGTGTGGCTGAGGCTCTGGCGGCGCTTAGCACGCAGCTGCGGCTGGGCCGGCTGCTGTGCCGGCAGCCCGCGTTGCTGCTGCAGCTAGTGGAGCGACATGGCACACGCCGTGCCATGCCCTGGCTGCACCAGCTGCTTAAACACGACCAGCTAGAACTTAGGTAAATGTTACATGGTAACGACCAGTTTTTGTAGTAGAAACCTTAATTATTCGTAATCTCATCAAGTCTGCTTTGTCGAGAATTAGTTCTTTATTATTAACACGTCCAGAGCTAATGAGTCACGTGGCGATTTTCCATAAATAAAAATCATAGGAGCACATGTGTTGTGTAGCGTGTTGCCGGTGCAATGCCTGTGCGAGTTCCTGTCTGCGGGCGGGGCGGGCACTGCAGGGGGCGGGGCGAGTGAGACGAGCAAAGCGGGCGAGCTGTGCGCACACTTGCGCCGCACGCTGGCCAGCGAGGAGGGCGCGCGAGCAGTGCTGCACTACTACATGCAGCGTCTCGCTCACTCCCACAAGCACACGCGTGCTGCCGCTAATAGGGCAAGTTACACACACAAACACATTGTAACAAAACAGTTGTGATTCAACAACACTAGCTATACATTAGACAGCCTTTTCCCCACTCCTGCCTTTCCTCCACTTTTCTGAAAGTCAAATAGGTCTGGTGGAACGTAGAGATATGGAAAGAGAAATATCCTTCTTCTGTGAACCCTCTCCGCGCACTTTTAAAGTTGGGCGAATGTGAGTTATCTTTAAATTATTGTATTAAAATTTGCAGGGTCTCAAACTAGTGCTGTCGCAATCCGAAGACACCGTGGAGTTGGATTACAATGCGGATGTTAGTCCCGAGTGAGTCTATTTTTTTAAATCGTAAAATACTCCATAAATGTATGTGTTAAATTTGATATTTGTATGCATAGCGAGTGGCTGGGTCTGCTGTGGCAGCTGCGACACTGGGGCGCGGTGCGGGGGGAGGCGGTGGCGCGCGTGCGGGCCGCCTGCCTGGTGGAGTGCGCGCCGCGACACCTGGCGGCGTACCTCGCCTTCCTTGCGGACCACGTCGATGCCACCCCTGAACTGGATCATACGGATATTGTACTTGTAAGTGCCACAAACAAAACGTCAATGATCTCGATTTACTAGAAGTGCAGATTGGAAGAAAAAGTTTGCCTAATATGTTTTTTTCTTTATTTTAGAGCTATAACGTAACTTATATTTATGATTATAACTTTTTAAATATATTTTCCTCCAAGTAAAAATATGAAATCTTTTCTAGCATACAACGTCTATGTATCTTTGTTCAGGATTTGAGTCAAGTGTTGATGGAGCGGACCACGGTGACCCACTGCGTGCTGCCGCCGGTGGAGAGCCGCGAGGCTGGTGGTGCTCGCGACGACCGCCTGCGCGACCAGCACCGCGCGCTGCACTCACTCACGCGCATACTGCACGCGCATCTCAGACAAGTAATATACACATTCCCTACTATCTATTTGTATACTGACTAATTGTA